CAGCAGGACAGAAGAACATCACTAGCACCATAACAGTGATGGCACCTGACAGTTACGATGTTCTTTGGCACTACATATGCTGAGAAACAGTAGTAGCAATTGTGTAAGTAGCTAGCCATCACTTGTAAGATTATGTTTACAATCACTCTCCCACTGTCAGCAGCTTTTCAACACAGGCCATAATCTCAGTCTATTTCTTAAAATTTTCTTACTACTTGCCTGCAGGTGATACACAGTAATATGAACAAAAAACAAATTTGACAGGAATCTTAATTCATCACCTAACCTAACCCCTTGAGGGCTGAAAACACGCTAGTATAATACAACTACCTTTGAAGTCCAATGGCCAGCCATTTATCCTAATCATTCACACTTGCAAAAAATTTCAGCAGGTTTGCAAACAAGCAGCCAACAAATTAGATACAGCACTCTGCTCTGCAGCATCAAAGACTAACCTTATTTCTATGAGTACCACCAAACTTGTTTAAAAACTTAGAAAATAAAATTAAAAAAAAAAAAAAGCAAAAAATTTTGGCAGGCAGCTTTGTTAGAGTTGTATAAATAAATTTCCCTTGATTTCAGGCAGAAGTTGCAAAAGGGAATATATGATGTAACAGGGGGAAAAGAAGAGAATATTCTTTGGGTTTGTGCTCTGCATTCCCTTCAGCGATTGGCTCAACTCCTCCAAAACCACCTAAAAGTGTAAACGCTTACTATAGAAATGTTCAGTTGATTAGGAAAAAACGCATTTAGATTTTGAAGCTGTAGCTGAAACTAGGCAAGAATATGAAGGACAGCAGGGACTCTACATCAGGGGCAAATGAAAGGTTAAGGAACAGGTAGGTTGCCCCTTTACAAGGCAAGGGAGCCATGAGACAAAGGACATGAAAAAGGCCAGGACAGCAGGTAACTATTTTTGCCTGGGTTTTTATGGCTATGGTCTGCCTTGACGCCTCCCCCGTGCCCAAACACATCGGCAGAGTCACTGCGAGCGAAGTATTACCTACAGCAGAGGAAGAAGCCAGGACGCAGTTAAACGAACTGGACACATACCAGATGGTATGAACCAAAGAGTCATAAGGAAGCTGGTCAAACTCAGATGCTGCATCATCTGGAAGCAGCATGGTGAGCAGGCAAGTCTCCTGATGACAGGAGAGGGAGGGAAATCAAATCAATAAACAAATAAGTAAATAAAAACCAAATATTAAAGACATCTTCAAGAAGGACAAGGATGGCAGCCTGGGGAACTACAGGCAAGTTGACCTTAGTGTCTGTGGAAGTTAAGGAGCAAGTCTTCTTGGAAAGGGCTCCAGCTATACAAAAGACTAAAACACACAAAAGAAGAGCCAGCATACATTTACCAAGGGAAAAGTACGCCTGACCAACGTCACTGAATTCTGATGAAGACGACTGGCTCAGAGGTTAAGGGGAAATCACGATGTCGTTCACCCTGACTTCAGGAAGGCCCATGTAATTATCTTGCACGCTATTCTAGCCCAACTGTTCATTTACATATTTCTCATGTAAGGTGGGTGGAAAACCGAATGAACTGCTGGGCTCAAAGGCTGCAGGCAGCAGTACGAAGATCAAAAGCCTGTGACTAGTGTTATGCTTCACTGATTAATACTGGAGCCAACATATACTTAATGTTTTCATTAAAAATCTAGATGGTGGCACACAGCGCACCTTCAGGAAGTTTGCAGATGTGACCTACTTGGGAAGAAGCAGTCAATCGAACAGGTAGGTTGTTACTCAGAAGGACCTGGATGGACAGACAGGAACCAAGTTCAAAAAATGCAAATACAAAGTCCTGCACCTGGGGTGTGATAATGTCCTGGAACAATCCTGGAACAACTTCACAGAACGCAGGCACAGGCTTGGTGGGTAGAAAGCACCTTTGCATAGAAGGACCTGAAGATCTCGGGGTGGGGAAAAAGTTGGCTGCAAGGCAACAACGTATCCCTGTGGCAAAGTGTGTGCTGGACTATATTAGCAAGACGTAGTTGAACAAAACAATTCTTCCCCTCTCTTCACAGCTTATGAGATCCACGGTACCTGCAGCACTGTGCAGCTATCAGACCAAAACCAGACAAGAATTAAACTGCCACACCAAAGGGATCCAGCAGAGGACCACACTAAGTGGCTGAAGCCCATACTGGATTGGGAGGAGCTAAAAGTTTATTCAATCTGGAAAAGAGAAAGCTGAGGGAAGAGGACCGAAGAATCTTCTTACTGTTTTTAAATGCCTATGGGGAGAGCAGGCAGGCTCTTTTCAGAAATGCACAGTGACAGGACAAGAGGCAGAGCCACAAGTTGCACAAGGGGAATTCTAGTTAGACATAAGGTAAAAACATTTCACCATTAAGGATAGTCAAACATTAGAAGAAGGTGCCCAGAGATATTAAAAAAACACCTAAATAATGCCCTTATCAATTAAAACTTGCCAGTCCTACTCTGAGTTGGGATTTGGACTACATCACAACTAGAAGTCCCTTCCAACCTGAATTATTTTACCTATTCAAGTATTCATACATTATCAGCAAACTGATGGTGCAGAGAAAGGCTATATTTATTAACTAAGCAGAATTGAGGCATTGCCTTCAATGCTTACTTACACCCTAGTTCTAACAGATTCAATTGCCCTATGACTTGCCTCCTCTCCATTTATCAACCTGGCTCCTCTGACCCCTAATTTATCAGTAAGAATCACTCTAACACATCAGAAACATTTCAGGAAAATAAATAAAATCTGCGGGTTTATCAAAAATAAAGTTGTATCATAAGCATGAACAAAACATACTGCCACAAAATATCCCAGCGCTGCTGTTACCAGTAGGGGGAGATCCATATGCAGCAACGACAGACCGTTCCAAACTACTGCTGTAGTTTTTAATGCTTCAATAAAGCCAAACACCTGCCTTAGCTGCTGGATGACTTCACGACTGACCATGCCACAGGTAACAGAATGCTTCCAGAGAGGCTAAACTATCCGTACAAGAGTATGAGAACAGGATGGTTCTGCAACACACTGCTACAAACTATAAAAAACAGGAGGAAACAGCTTCCCGCCTCCAACAGCTTTGCATTTTCTAAGGCAAAGAAAAAATATTCCCAGTCCTTTCTCAAAAGAGAGAGAAACTAGCAAACTGATGAAACCATTAATTATGGACACACTCATTTAGTTCCATTTTTAAAGCAGTTATATTCTTTGGAATAACTTCTTACAAAAAAACTCACTGTATGCCTATGACATATTAATTTCCTAATTTACGTAACTGAAATGCTCACAACCTTAATGTTATTGATAGCTATTCACTTATGTCTTAAATGGTGCTTCCTCCCAAATAAGCTAAAAATATTTTCAGCTCCATTCACTTAAAACTTTTAATAATTGTAAAAGCAAAGGAAATGTAGTTGTGAATAACTTCTGCACTACGAATCTGTATTTAAGCTGTGGAAAAATACAACCTTAATTCACAGAGCCTCTTTTTGGACTACCTGTCCACAGCTAAGGTTGCGCGGTTGTTCATTCCTATGAAAAAAGTAGAAGTTAACCCCAACAGCAGTCCCCAAGCCAAGTGATTGCGTTCACCTATAAATGAGTAATCTGTTTTATATCAATTTAGAAATACTGCCCAGACACAGGAAATCTTTGGCAGATGAGTAAATCACATTTCAGCTGGTCCATTTTCATTCAACTCCACTGCACTAAACAGAAAATACCAGTCATGCAGGTTTTCTAAATCACTTGTTCCTTAATCTCCCATTTTTCGCAAATGAGACTTCCAAACCAAACAGAAATGCATGAACTCATGATGCACAATACAGCACAGTGACAAGTATGCAACAATTTGAGATACAGGATACTAAACAATACTACATACTGCCACAGTATCTTCAGTACTAGCCTGTGCACCCTGCTCTGTTCATGTATTGCTTCCTGTACCACCTCCTCCTCAAACACAGGACAGTACAACCGGCATGCCTGTTCTGCTCCAGCTGTAGAGTTGCTAGGACAAACTTTGCATCCCTTCTCCAGCAAAATACTGATGCCAAGCAGAGCAAAGTTTGGCAGGAATTTGCAGCGATGATACACTTTTTAAAAAGTCAACTTGCAGTCTCCTCCTGCCACAGTTCTTGACCACGACTCTATCACAAAAGGAACCAATGTGACAAAGGGCACTGCATCACGTGCAATGCAAAGCCCTTCTTCCCAGCAGAAAAATTTAAGACAAGATACAGATTCTAAAACCACCTTGTAAACCAACAGCTAAATGTTCACATCATGCAATACCTAAATAGGCTGCAATGTTGACAAAAATGTCTGGCCAAGGAAAAGTATTTGTGAAACTAACTTCATTTCTTAATGTTTTCCATTAAATCAGCAAAATCACGTGACAGTTCTTCCTAAAATCGTATTACACTGCAGCAAGACACTACAGGCATCTAGCACTAAGCAAATCACGTAAAGTTAAAGGATTTAATCCTTTATAACTGCAAAAAAAAGATTCAAAAACCTCCAAACTCTGAAATCACAACACAAGGAACAACTTGTCAAATTGACTCCGGAGTGACAGGGTAGAAATAAGAATGCTATTTTGCTTCTGTGAATGGAACTCTAGTGGTGGTCCTAAAATAGAGAATCTATGTCACAATAGCTCTGCAATGAAATTATTTAGCTCCGTCCTCCCAATAGCAGCACAATTAAATCATATGTTCGATACACGGGCCAGAAGAATTCAAAAAGTGCAACATAGACAACACACATTGGATCCAGAGCAAAACCAGGACAACACAGAGGAGTACTTCAATATACCTTGAGCGCTGAAGACTTCGCGGAGAGGCAGGTTCATGACCTGTCTGCTTCTCAGCAATTACCGGCTGCTGAGGTGCTGCCTGTGAAACTGGTCCTTGTTTAACACCTGGAGTAGCAACCTGCAAAATGAAAAGCCTCATTAGAATTCCTCCACAGTAAGTATCAAGTGAAAGAACCACAGGAAAACACAGAAATTACAAGTTACAATATCAGTGGGGGTTCTGATACAAGGTCTTTTGTTGACAGCATTTTTATTCTCTTCACAAGGTGTTTGTTTTTTTAAAAAAATCATTTCTTGTTCCACATCTCTCATAGCTTTTTTTTATTATTATTAAAACAGAGCACTTCAAAGACATAAAAAAGCAAATTTAGATCCATCTGACTTGTCATAATATTGCAAGTTTATTACGTAAAATAGTTCAAATTAATTTCATTTTTGACCATATCTTCCATGTGAGCAACAGGCTCATTTTCCGTCTCAGAAGAATTGCTCATTATCCAAATAAAACTTTCACTTAAAAAGGTAAAAGTTTTCCTATTTGAGAATACATTAAACAAGTGTCAAGAGCAGAATTAGGTCATAATCATGTTATCTCTATTAGAAATGAAAAAAAAAAATCTAAGGCATGCTTGTCAATCTGCTACTCCCCCTTTTTTAACTGTTTCAAAGTCAGTTCTAAACCAACGACTGACTAAAAAAAGAGTCACAGTAGCTTTCCGCTTTTCCTTTGTAGTACACATTCACATTTAGGATACTAAGACACCAGCAGTGATATATGGTCTTTTTAAAGTGAATTCCTGAACTGCAACAGGATGAAAAAGTTGGGAATATACTAGTGTCCAAGTTACAGTAATGGAGTAGATACTTTTTTTTCTCCCATATTTTGCATAACTCTGTCCTTTTAAAGTACGCACAAGAGAGGAAGCAGTTCCCAAATTTATTCCCCAGTCTCACAAATCAAGCTAACAATTTTAAGAAAGAGAGAAGGAAGAAAACTGGGTTCCAGGGAATCATAAAGAAAAAAAAGTATAAATCAGGCAGCCTGTCTGGCATTTGCTGACATCAAGCTGGTGTAGATTACTAACTAGCGGTCATCTGAACCTCCAGAAATTCTCTCAGTTTCAGAAACAGACTCCTGTGAAACAAACCACAGAGAGCAAGTCAGACAGTATCTACCAAAGTAAACTCAAGATAAAACTTCATTTATTTAAATAAACAGGAAATTTTAATGTAGTCTCAAACCTACTTATATATTTAAGAGGAAATGTCACCTTTTAAAATTATCAAAAGCAAAAACAATTTAAATAGCACATGAAAAGATCATGGTTCTGAAAAGATAAAGCAAAGACGCTGTATGGTCATTCAGTGTGCTGAAAATCACAGAATTGTAACTGTTGAGGGGAACAAAATAGTAGCAGTTTGAAAACTAATTTATGAAAAAAGACTGCCTGAGTAACTTTATGAATTGTACAACATGAAGAATTGTGGTATTAATGCCTGAATCTTGCTCAACCTATGAGCAGACATAACTTAGTGAGGCTGTTGAAAAACAGAAGGAACAATTTCAAAAGGGGAATCCATCAAAGATAACAAAATCACCTCACAGAGCCAAACAGGGAAACTTAACCAGCTCCTTGGCTGGTAGAAGTAAAAACAGAAGTAGACTGTAAAGAAAAATGGGATTTGCAAGATAAATGAGCAACAAAAACTCTTAAAATATTCCCTGTTTTCCAAGTGTTTCACAGACTGTAACTAAGTGTAACAGAAAAATAATAAGGGCTAAACAAAAAAACCAAAAAACCTCCATAAGCAACATTCTCACTGAGCTTGCCAGGTTTGTGTAACACGCTTTACACATCTATTTTGCATAAATTCAGAGCAGGTTCTAACTTTACAACACAGGCAAAGCTAAACGGCAAAACGTGCTGCCTAGCATCCCAGAGTCCACGATAGCGGAGCTGCTGCGTGCACAGAGCACACCTCCAGGCACGCACACGGGTCTGCGTTTGAAAGCAGTCCAGCCGCGTTCATGCAGTCCTAAGCGACAGGTTCTGCCACGAGAAAGGCACCACATTCGCCGTTCCCCGAGCCAGGCCAAGGATCCGTGCAACTGGCACTGGGCTCTACTTGTATGGTGCCAGTTCTGCCTTGTCTGCATAGAAGCAGCCTAAACGAAGGAGCTTGTGCTCGGAAACAAAGCGTGTCCTGGCACAGCAGCACAGCTTGATTATGCATAATTTACCTCGAACTCTTAGAACTGAGTAACTTAACCTGACTGACATACTCTAAGGAGCACTAAACCAGACAGGCTTACACTGGAGCTATCGCCTTCTAAGTTCTCATCTCAATCCCATCTTACGGAATTAATTACATGAATACAGGAACTATCACAAAAATTCTTTCCATACTGAAATGGAAAAGTATCTGCTACTGAACCAGAATTTATTCTGGGTCTAACACACAAACACTTCACATTAATATTTCAGCAGCTCTGTTGTTAGCAGCAGATTTAAGGAACATAAAACCCAAGAAAAGATCCTGCTGTAAAGCATTACTACTAATTCTGTTCAAATCAGCTAAAACTGATCTGTGAAGCTACTCAAGGTACCTCAAAAATAGAAAGCTTTTATGGTTATGATATTCCCAGTGCAGTAAGAGTTACAAGTTCCTCACAGAGGGATAAGAGTAAAAACTTGCCAGTGTATATAATGATGCACAACAGTCTACCAGGATTAATAGCATTCTGAAGCAAAGACTTCACAGTTTAGAATGAGTAACTCAGAAATTTACTTAACACTTGGGTTACAACCACATTACATGTGTTTCAAAAGTAAAGCAGATGTGCAATCTTACCTCACTGCAGGGTAAACATAAGGAAATATGGATTCAAATATAGTAACTTCAAAATGTGTCACAGTATGCTCATCAAAATATAAACGTCACCACTTTCAGAAGAACATGTATACACGTATCAATAAAATGTACAGCACCCTACTTTGAAAATACCATTAGTGACATCCTGCGTGCTAAGCCACGAACTACATGCAATCACAGGGCTCTGCCTGTAAGTGGAGGTTCCCCTATCAAAGCATAAAATACCTGACAGTTTTTTGAGGAGAGTCAGCCCTGCTGTAATTAAGACTTACACTAAATTCAGATCAACACTTCTCAAATCTCCATTTAGCCTTGAGGTTTTTTGCTTCTACTAGAAACCTGATGGAAGGCTTGTGCATCCAAAACTAGATTTAATTATTCAATTCAATAGTCTACCAAGACAGACTGGCCATACTTACACTTGGCTTGCTTTAACATTCTCTTAAGGCATACTTTACTACCACACGATCTACTTCACAGGTATAATGCTGGCCTTTATGCTGGGAGAAAGGCAGTGGGTTCAAGTTTGTCTGCACAGTTCTAAGACATCTGTAGCATGATGATAAATACTAAAGAAACTAAATTCATAAAACAAGGATAAATGTCTTGGGGGAGAAGAGATTTTTTGTCTTTCCTTCTAGTTCTATTTCAGAACACACTGTAGATAAAGAAAATTCCAAAGGATAAAGCTTTTGCCATGTTTATAATGTAGCTGATCATCAGAACTGTATATATATAAGTAGATCCTTATCTCTTGCTTGAGAGACCGGAACAGATCAACTTCCAGTTACTGATAGTAAACAACGTAAGAAGATTCTTTCTCATATCCCAGAATTTGAAAGTGCCAGGCTTCTTCCTTCTTTGTTTTAAGTCTATTTAATAATTTCATCACTTGTCACCTAGCCATGGGATGTGACCACCAGATTCAGGATGCACTCCAAGAGCAGAAACAAAGACAACAAGCGTGATTAGTACATACATGAGGCTTTCATAATTCATTGTACCATTGTCAATCACAACAAACTCAGAGAACCACTTAGTTTTCTTTGCACCCATGAAAAAATTGAAATGTAAGACAACAAGACATTTAGAATAGAATGAATTCTGCAAACTGTCCTCCCAAAGTTTTCCTTAAAGGTCTTCAAGACATAAAAGTTTTTTTTCCGAGCAAAACATTGAAAGGAAGATGCCTTAGCTAAGCAGAGGTGTGGAGAGCAGGGATTGGGGGGGGGGGGGGTGGGGGAAAAGAAAAAAAAGGGGGAGCAGGGGTGGGGGGGGGGGGTGTGGAGGAAAAGAAAAATAAAAATCAAACAAGACTGGTCTCACCCTGAAGTCTACAGTCACGCTTCTTACACTGCTAAGATACTACATGCACTGGGCAACGTACTGCTAGATTGGGTTAAAATCTGAGGGTCTCAATCTTGAAAGGAAGATCCACACAATGAAGAGACAGGACAAGTTCCCGTTGCACGAAAATGGCAAACATCTAGGAAAGGTCCAAATTCACCTCAGTGCACTTCCATTTTTCACAGCCAGAATACCACTGTAAATTGCTAAATTCTTGTTTTGTTTTTTAAAACTTACCTAAAAGGCACAAGAGTGCTATGCCCAGCAGCTCCACCTATCACTACAAAACTATTTTGAACGTAAAAGGTGACTTTCCACCAGAGGGTGCAAATCAACAGCTCTGCCTTCAGTCCTCTTTAATAACAAAATCCTCCTTCCTAACAGGTCCTTTAACTCGGAACCTCTTACTACCCTTGTTCTGTAATATGAAACACAGGTCTTTAAATAAGAAAAAGGAAAAGCCCTTAAGGGGAAGTTCACCTTGAGTGCCTCTAATTACATGTACTTTCCCCACGTATACACAGCAAAACAGAGAGTCCTTCATCTGCTGGACTCAGCTTACATCCTATTTATTCTTCAACATCACCACTTGTAGGAAACAGAATATTGAGCTCAGCTTCCACAAAAACATTTTTCCTCTGAAGAGTGACCCACTAGAGGGATCTCACACACATACAAAAAGTAAAAAAAGACAACTCTGTATTTTCTATTTAATGCTTAGAAGAACTTCAGCAGCCTGTTAGTTTCAGTTAATGTTTCCTAGTCATGGATCCAATTAAGGAATTCTGAATCGATGTGGGTAAGGTGGCAGAAAGGGAAAGGGAAGTAACAATAGTGACCCTGTAAATACCTAAAACACTGCTAATCAAATTTGAAACTGCATTAGGTAAACTTCTCCAAGAACTTCTCTCTCATTCTAAAAATCCTTCACTGGCTAAAGTCTAAATAACTGTATCAGCTCTTGCCTTTGGAGTAAGTTTTTGTTTCCATTTAAATATGTTAAAATACAGATCTCTTGATAATATCTACAAAGAGCATCTGAAGCAAGCACATTATTTTTTCAGGAACAGAAATGTGTACTACAATTCCATGCTAGAGTTGTACTGCAAAACTACAGTCGAATAGTTGCTTCTAGTTGTTTCTCTTTCTACTGGGAAAGACAACATGCATATTTTATTATCATATATATGTAACTGCTAGCACATGGATGTATAGCAGCAATACTTAGTATTATCTACTAATGGTTTCTCACTACAATATGGCATAAATCAAAAGGAACTTACCTTCTGCTGCGATGATACTGGTGGCGTAGTCATCAAAGGTTTAAGCGGAACAGTGTTAGTCTGAGGCGTGCTTATTCTTGGAGATACATATGATCTTGGCGATGAGGCATCAGATGTTAAAGACATTGGAGACTGATTAGATGGCTGAGCTGTAAAGCAAAAAAAAAAGAGAAAGATTGTTTTTAATAAAGCCATATATTATTTTAAGTGTAAAGTAGACTTTCCTTTGGTATCTTAGAGTATGCTGTATTAGATAATATACAAACACACCTTGAGACACCTGCAGGGGTGAAAAATTGGAACAATCAACTATTCAACAACAATCCTACCTAAAAAATTGTATTTTACCCAAACCTTTCACTTCTAAAACTTGAGAGGAGGGGGAAAAAAAGCTATTATGCAATGCTTTCTACACATGGAGACTAAATTATTTTCACTTGCAACTCCTATTTTAGAGTGCTCAACTTGATTTAACCAAAAGAATGCATGAACAGCTTATTTAGAAACGTATTCACCCATTCCAGGCATCTACCAACAGTCCCTTGTCCACATTTTAATTACTGGTTAAAAATTAGCATTAGCATAAAACACTGTTTACCTCCCCAAGAGCCACAGTTGCACAGTATTACAAGAAGGGTGCTCAACCAAGGAACAGTTGTGGTTTATATTGAGTATTAAATAACATCTGATCAAGGTTCAGAACAAATTGAGAGGTTTTGCATTACTCAGAGTAAGTTAAGATATAAAGAAAATCCCAACTGGTGAGACAGAGAAGCACAGTTACGTAGTTGCAAGTTAGCTTCCTGATCCTCAAGTAACAATTCCTTCTCCTATCTCTGCGAAAAGAAGTCATCTGACATCCTCCACACCAGATGGCCAAAGATATGACAAAAGACAGCTTCTGAAAGTTTCCACTGTATCAACCTTTATAAAACGTAGTGTAACAATTTTACAAAAATGAAAAGAAGACTTTGAATACCTTGCGTAGACAGTTGTGCAGCTTGAGAAATTAGGGAAGTGATATTGAAAGCAGATGGTCCAGCAGTAAGAATTTTATGGAGTATAGACTGCAGAGAGGCTTGTGTCACAGCTGCTGTCAGAACTAAAAACAAACATTCTATTTTACTGACAATTCTAGAACATCACTTTAAAGTGTTCAAACCGGCAAAATAAATTTAAGCCACGTTTTCTTTTCTGATTTTGTTCCTGTATCCACAATAGGCCAAAAAGCCATCCAAGCTATTTTTGGATTACTTGAATTCAATTCATGAATGCCTGGCATGTCTAACCAAGTCTCCTCTCCTGTCTCCGGCTCCTCCACTAAAAAAATTCATAATTTTAAAACTGCACTATCCAGGAAGAACATCTTACAGCTTCTGAACTATTTTTTCAAAAAGGTCTACAGGGTCTGTGGGATACTTCCTGAACATACACTACTCATGTACAAGTCCAAAAAAATTGACTCATCAGCACAAACACAGAATAACTGCATCATACGCACAGTGAGGACAGTCCTGCTGTGCAAGGTGAAGTCACTGCCCACACAGACCTGCAAGCCTGGCCCTGATGCCATGAGAACAACACTAAACATTCTTGTTCCAAGAAAGGTCCAGCTGCTGCTCAGATATGGCAAGAGAAAATGACCAGGAACTTAAATTGACAGCCTTCTAATAAAATAGAACTGGAGCCTTGATTGAACCTTTCATTTATTTAAGACAAACAATGATGATACTCCTACTCTTAGTGCAACGAAAAAATAACCTACTCACTTACTAGTATGGAATAAAGCCATAATATTTGCTGATTCAAAGGAAGTCAATTGACAGCTTTTCCTTATAAATAACTGTAATGTACATAAAAATTTAATGTTTTGACTTTCATAGTTTACACTTTAAAAAAGTTAAAGATAATTAACTCTGGGCACTACATGTACACGTTTTGCTTCCTATTTTAATCTGTGATCAGTGCACAAGAACTTTACAGAAGCAAACAAAAAATCCCACCCCATTTTTTTATCAGTCACCTGCCACATGCAAGCATCCCATTACATAACATGCATCAAAATGCATCAACTCTAGCTGTTTTTGCAGTGAAAGGCACTACAGCTAGTTTGAAATGTTCTCCTAATAAACTAGGTCAATGTGACAAAAATCTAAGGGATTTTTTTGTGCTATTACAGGCACCAAATTTAACTTGCCAGCAAAAATACTGATATACTATCTTTATTCAGAGAGGCTAATGTTCTGTTAAATAAAAAAAAGTTGATAGGCAAGAAGATTTGAGAATCCCTAGAAGTTTCAGTATTTGCAAACACGTATTATTAGAAAAGCATCATAAAATACAGACAACAAAGAACACTGCATCAAACAAAAGAACAAAAAGCTCTAACTAAATTTTGTGCAAGAGATGAATGCTGATGCAGCAGTTAAGTCACCAGTGTCAATTAGACTGTCCACATAATCAGCATTTATTACCTTAACAACCTTAAATGTTACTTGGCTAATTTAACAGGAGATTTAACAGGAAAAACAAAACCAATCCCCACTTCATTTAGAGTTTCATTTATTCACTTTTCACCTAAAGGCAGGCATGTATTTACTACTAACCTGTGTAAATAATAGATTACATCAACTTTAAAGAATCCTTACCTTCATTGATTTTGGATATATCGACGCTAGAATTATTAAGCTGCAAGGTGGCTTGCAGAGCAGGCAGCAGCTGTCGAAGGAGATTTGGGTCCTGAAGTAACGGAGGAATTGGTGATTGTGGGACAGGTGAGACAGGGACTGTAGGAGCAGACGAAGCAGGCGCAGAAGTTGGATTCAGTCCAGAAGCAGAAGATGTAGAAGGAGTTGTGCAAGAATGGGATACAGACTTGTCCACGGATGCAGACTCTGAACAGGAGACAGACAGTAATTTTCATTTTCCCAAATATAACCTGACAATTTTTCACTAGTACAATATTCACATTAAATCCATAAGGTCAAATCATTGTAAAAAAAAAAAAAAAGAAACCAAAACACCCTACTACATGGATATAATAAAAACTGAAGGTATTTTATATCTAGTATAATTTATGTTATTGAACCTAATATTCATTAGGAACACACATAAAATTTTCCACTTCAAGATGATGTACTGAAAGTTGCCACTATTACAAATAGGATTTCCCTCCCTTCCCCTCCAGCCCAATTTTTAGGACAAGCGTGGACCGGAAATTCCTTATTGATTTTTTCCTTTGTTGTGCATATGCTCATATTCTATGACTTCTAATTCTAATCGTGATTCAAATCTTTCTTTGGAAAATGTACTATAAACAAACCCCTTACATTCCATGGACTCTACAGGCTAATATGTCAAATTTGAGGGAAGGGTATATAGGCCATGCTTCATTTGCTCAGACACCAGACTACAAGAAGCTACAAAAAAAAGACCAAGTCTCTCATACACAATCCAGCTACATTGCTCAGGATTTGCAGATGGGATAAGCTGTACTAGAAACACAAAACCAAGATGTGGTAACATCCCCACAGCAGAGTGGAAAAACATCTAAAAATCTATCTGCCCGTAATTAATTTCAAACTTGTCAGCTGCCCTGAAGCATCAATACTTACATATTTTATTTCGTTAAACTCATTTTAGCAAATATTTAAACTTACTGTCCACAGAAATGCTTAGTACTTGAATTCAACGATACTGTACGGTGATTTGTTCTAATTAATATGAATTATTTAGGTTAATTTTAAATTTGACTTCCAGTTAACATCAAAGTTTCTCCTCCATTCCAGTACTCTGAGAAATTCCTTCACTGAGAATTTCCACTTACTACAGGAACACCATTAATCCCTTCAAATATCCTTCCTTTAAGGAGCCTGGAGCACTGTATTTTGATTTTAGCTTCCTCTTCTCTCACCCTCATTAAGCCTATCAGAGACCTCCACCCCCAAATTCAGTCAAGACTAACGCCTCTAGAGCACCAAACAGGTTGGATCAAGAGTGGAAAGATGGATATGCATCCAAGTTCTCACCGAGGATGTTTGCCCATAATATTGAAGACTAGGATTTTAAACACACCTCAGACCTGGCAGAGAATATCACAAAAGCTAAAACTGGCTGGGAAACTCTTTTCCTCTAAAGGTTTGTTTGGGGTTTTATTTTTTCATTGAAGAGATAGTCAAGGTAAAAAGAAGCTGAGTTGTAGTAAAGGAGAAAAATGAAAAAGTCTTGTTTTATTACGTAAGAATTCAAAGTTACAAAATATCTAAAAGCTTTTGTATTCTGACAGCCTTAATTGACTCTTCTGATATTCATTTGGAGAACCACCCTAGTAAAAACTAAAAAATGACTAAAATATCAATATGTAAACCAAATGAGATTAGAAATCTCAGGGAAGAGAAAGGGGACTTCTGCTTACTTGCAGTTACAGCAGAAATAGTTTGAAAAGGTCACATACACTCAGAAAAACCCTTCCCCAGTCAAGTAGCTGAGAAATCTTAATCAGAAAAAAACATCAAAGAAACCAAATCTGACAGCTTGCAAGACTGCAATGGCCAGGGCACACAGATATATTTTGATGTTTCAGGCAAACCCCTGAAAAAGAGGCAGCCTTATCTAGTTAACAGCTCCTCAGGACAAGGGGTTGGCTTTCAATGTAGCTCCAAAGGGACCTGGTCATCTGGCCAGGAGCTTTCGTAAGAACTTCCAAAAGGGACAACAAGTGTCATAAAGACGGTAGATGAAAAAAAAAACAGTTACAAATTTTCTATACAGTTTTCACTAAGATGTGACTAGGAAAGATGATTAGGTATTAGCCCCCCTTAAAAAAATAAGTCATTAGTAAAAGTCTTTGTTATAGAAGTACTACATAAAAAAAATCTTATTTTGCAGCATTCAAACTTAAGACAACTGTAAGTCAAGACAGATCAAGCAAATAAGAATTTTACCATACTAAACAAAAACCATGTAAAGTTTAAACTGAACTTGGATTTATCATAGTCCACATAAGGACGAGATACATCAGTAGACAAAAGCAAGGGAATGGAGCAGAACGGGACATGTTAGTACTTGCATGTACAAGTCCCCTACCCTACAGTTTTGAGAACCTTACTAAAAAAAAAAAAAAAGACCTCAAAATGAAACAAAAAAGATCAGAATACTCTAATTTAAAAGCAAACCAAACACAAGAGAAAAAAAACCCCAAATTAACAAGCAACTACCAGCACTAATTTCAAAACACATTTAACGTAGTTAGGCTTGTGTTCACAGTTGGACTGAGCTATTTTAAGCAAAAAAGCAACTCATTACTATATTATTAATTCACATAAGCAATACCTGAGCTTCAAACCACACCATCATACCAAACGGCTGTAAGTATCTTTTACCCACGCTGCAGTTTTGAACACAAAATAAGCTGAATCAAAGGCAAACTCAAGCTGACAATGCAGTGAAAGACAAACCTTAAGACCAGTTCTGGTTATTTAACTAACTTCTTAAATAAAAAGACTCGAAGTATATCATACGTAACAACTGAATTCCAAGAGGTCTGTAAAAGTACTTTAATTTGGGTAAGCTTCTCTGCTATAAAACACAAACTTAATTACATCAAAACAACACAGTCCAGTTAATTCTTTTAGATAATATGGAGACTCTATGCTGTAGCTGTATTATTGTAGATGTTTTAAGTACGTGTTAGAACATACATGCAAAAGGTATTTTTTTGTACATCACCCAGATTAAACACCTAGAGTGATGTGAAAAACAGGTAGTGTTTACAGTTAACACTCTGATCTTTTGAGCTGGGTAACATCACCAAAACAGCCATTCAAATGCTATGAAAGCATACAGCAATGTGATCATGGCTATCTGAACACACATCCTAACTCCTTGTTATTGAACATCACAGCGGATGCAGAGCACAGTAAATGCTCAGGACAGCAACGAACTTCATGAATTAAGTAATTTGAGTCTTTCAGAGTGAAGCAAAGGGTATAAACCCATTTCCTGCCAAAAAAAGTTGTTAAAGTTATTTCAGGAAGTATAAGTATTTCTTGTTCGTATCAAGTAGCCTGAATGACTATTTCCTTCTCTACAAAGGGAAACTTCTTTGGCATTAAAAGAAACAAGCTAAAAAATACAGACTATACAATAGTTCAACATAATCACAACTTTCCTTACCTTAATTTAAACCAATCTATCTTACTCCATATGGCTTCCAGACTGGATACTTGATTTCACAGAAAAAATTCCAAGAAATACTGCTGATAAAGCAAAGCCTCCGAATATTTACACACCCATTTTTGTATAAAGTAACTATAAAGGTTTAAAATTGGTTTATTTTATGATGCTATACAGAACTTGCAAGTTTCACCTTTAAAGTTAAAACAACTAGTCAAAACTCCTCAAGATGTAAGGTCTGTCTCACAAAAATCCTCAAATATCACTCACTGTGGTGTGTGTACTTCCATTGCTTTTTCCACAAACAGAAGCAGAAACTTCTCACTCTCTCCTTTTCCTCCCTAACTCTCCTTTTCTGATTGGTTTTGAGGCTGTTTCACTGTGTATTTTGCACACAATTTGCTTTTCAACATTTAAACACTATTTCCTAGTTTCTAAAACATGTACTAAGTTTTTAAAAAATGCTTAGAATTATACAGTCCTATAATTCTTAAATGCATTTGAAGCCTCAATCATCATGAAACACAGTCAAAGTGGACTCAGCGTACTGATAAAAGTGAAATATCTTTACAAATCCATGTTTTACAACTCTGATACATTCTTCTCTCTGCCTTTGTCAATCTAAGTTCATGTTCATTAAGAAGCTAACTACAGCATTAATGTGAAATAAAGCTTTTGATTACATTAGTCATTCATAAACAAAATCTGAATCATTAATACATCAATCAGACTAATGTTGCACCTACAACTGAAATTTTAAAAGAGATGATGTAAATTTGGTCTGTCTCTCACACAAAAATTATTCTTAAAAAGATGACCTATGCTGCAAGGCCTGCAAAAGTCTTAGAGGGTAACTGAAGCTGCCTCCTATTGCACAGGGCAACTCTGCAGCCTCTTCACTGTCAACACCAATTCCCATACAAATGCTAGGCAAATGACTTCAATCTCACATAAAATTTCAGCTATTATCATCGAAGTCCCAAGCAAGTATTTTTGAGTAAAATGTAGGAAAAAATAAATAATCAAAACCAATAGCAGACCACAGCACACTGTGATCTTTTTCACTACTGAACTGTTAATTAAACTTTGTGGGTTTGGCTCTTCCTCTGAAAAAATAAGACAATTTTTAAAATTATTTTCTGTGATTTAAAAAATACGAATTTGCACTGATTTCTCCATGATAAGCTAAACATATTGAAATTTCAACTTCTGGAGCTTTTAGGAAAATTTCTTTTAGAAAAAATCCATTCACTTTGTTGTGACAATATGAAGATACAGTACGCTTTCTGACAATCACGTAAACAAACTAATTAGATGCTGCCTACATATAGAACTAAAGTTTCTGGACCATCAGCTGTAATAATATGGGGACAAAAATGAGCAAGAAGTAAAGCCATCCAAAAAAAGGAAAACCAAAGTAATTGGATGGCAAACAAAATCAACTAGATGTGGAGATCAACTTAATGGGAAGAAATATTAATTGGTTTTACATTAAAATAATGCAGAATCCCCCCCCTTTTTTATAATGAAAACAACCTTTAATAACCATGATGATTTGGAAAGAACTTTCTGTTCATAACCTACTCTGCTGGAGCATGACCTGACACCTTTTGGGCAAAAAGGACAGAAGTCTGTATTATCGGCCAATACTGCCTGTGACACGAAGCTGTAGGCAAAAGTGCATCTTTCTTGCAGGTTTCACAGGGAGATAACTGAACTC